ATACTCTAGATGTGTTCACACTGCCCTCCACCACTTCCTCCCACCCCCACACATACATCTTCTCCAGCCACACTCAGAAAGACAAAAGCTGGTGTAATCGAGTCCAGAAAAACAAAAGCGAAGACCAACACTAGTTCTTCAAGCATGCACGTGGGGAGCATCAAACCATCCCTGTAAGTAGAAATGAGGATTGTCTATTCAAGAACTGATACACCTGAGTTGACTTTAGCTCAGATATGTTGTTCCAAAGAAGTTACTTCTTTTAAAGGGAGAAAGAGGCCCTTTAAAATCACACGTTCTCACTCATAAGCGGACCTTGAACAACTATTGTAATACTATAAGAAAGGGATTGGTAGTAGCGGGAAACTGCCGGGGGGGAGGAGCACACCTCATCAACAAGGGTACCTGCATAATGACTATTTGTATAACTAACTCTGAATTGTACCCCACATATTTAAAATAAAAAAAATCAAGATTTAGAGAAGGGGAAAATTGGAGTAGGCTGGAGATGAGGATTAGAAATAAAGAGAATAAAACTCTATTGGAGTTTTCAACCTCCCAGTGAAATGTAGTGTATGCATGGGAGAAAAAGGGCGTCACAAAAAATTAACCACCTATTGCATGCCAATCATAGGACAATGTGGGCTGATACGACATTATAATGTAATGACAGAAGTAAAGCCTGGCAGATATTACACAGTAAATAAATAGTGGACATGATTATTACTCAAATAGGCTCAGAGGGTCTATCCTTTCCTTATTGCTCAAGAATTGTAATTCAGATCTGACTATATGGCACCATTTTGAGTTTTATTAATACCATAGACTGTCTGAGATTCCATGGATCACTGACAGGATATCCTATTTCTTATTTGTTGACTTATTCCTGTGCCTTTTTTTTTCCAGTAATGATTGATAGTAGAATTATTAGGATATGATTATATTTGGCCTGTTTCTAGTAGTGTTCAAGCTAAGACCTGATATCTGGAACAGAAGGTGAGGAAGCTTCAGGAGCCCTCAGCTTTCTTCACTTCTACAACATATAGAAGCTAATAAGTCAAGCAATTAGTCTGTCTTCAATGTTATCATCCCAGGGCCATCTGTGGTCCAGCGGCATCTCTCTTCACTCAACATTCATTGCTTTACAAGGGAAAGGATTCAGAAGGGAATCTAAGGCATTCAGCATTCTGAGCCCCTTCATCTTTGCATGGTCTCAACATTCTCATTAATTGATAACATGTGTCAAAATACACTGAACAGAGAGCTGGAAATTGTGAAGAGAGAAAGGGTATAAATCTTCCAGTAAAAAATAAAAGTGATTATGGTAGGGAACCAGGTGATACAGGAGAGCACAAGAGATGTTCACCTCTTCTTTAGTCAGGATAGGCTAGACTCTGCTGCAAAAAGCACATTAATACCCAAATCTCAGTAGCTTAATACCACAAAGACTTATTTGTTGCTATGCTATCTATAATATTTGTGACCTCAAAAGACCCCTCAGTAGGGGAAGAAAATCATGGAGGTAGAAATTTGGATCTTAAATACCTTGCTTAGAAATGACTCATGCCACTTCCAGTTACACACCTTGGTAAGAACTAGTTACATGATAAAGCCTGACTACAAGTTGACTGGGACTTCCTTTTATGCCTAAGAAGAAGAGATGGACCAGACATTCGTAAACATAATCATCCCTAGCAAGACATATATATGTGTAGGATCTTTTTCTATTTCTACTTCAGTTTGTGTTTTGCTGAGTCCCATGATCCATCCCATTATCATCTGCTGCTCTATCCACTAGAATAATCTCTCCTCATCCCTTCATTTGCCCATCTGTACCTCTATTCCCACCCTGGTAGCTAAGCATTATTGCTAAGCAGAGCATGAACTGTAACCCCTGAATGTAGGGTTGGGAGACACCTGCTCTGGGCCTACCAGTTGAACTAAGACTTTAACTCTTTTCCATTTGATACTTAAATAGCTTCATGAGATATTTTTTACTACCCCTACTTGGTAAGTGGAGAAACTGAAATTTAGAAATATATGTAACTTTCCAGGTAACACAGCTAGTAAGTGAAAAGTACTGAATCAGAGTTTCATGTATTTATTTAGTTGTAAGTAAACACATAGTGAATTCAGCTTAGTGGTGCCATCTTTCCTAGAGAGTTAGGGTTAGGGTTAGGGTAAAAAATATCATCTTTGGTTATGGTTTAGAGGTCAAAAATATCATCTTTGGGTTTGGAAACCAATAATAATAACACCACTTCACAAGATTAACATAAGAATGTAATGAGCTAATACATCTAATGTGCTTAGTGCAATGTCTGACTCAAAATAAACGCTCCACAAGTAGTAGCCTGTGGAAGAACCAATCAATATATACATGAATACTGTTTGATAAGAGATATGATTAAGGTACATTCATGTTTGCCATTGGAGCACAGAAAAGGGAGACTTAAACAAAGAGTATGTATGTGTTCTCTGAGTGAGTGGTCACTGAGACTCTTTGAAAGAAGGGTGACAATTATTATGCAGACCAAGGTTGGAACATAAGGCAGGATGGACTTCCAAGCCAAGGGAGTAGGTATGCAATCACTGAAGGCAAGAGAGCATGCTGTTGAACTTGAATGAAACTAGGGAAAGAAATGATGACTAGCAGGCTAGTGTGAAAGCCGTCAGAGGTAGCAAGCAAGGCTAGACCACTCAGGACTCTGTGTAACCCCATTTTGTGTGTGTGTGTGTGTGTGTGTGTGTGTGTGTGTGTGTGTGTGTCCACGTTTATATACATTGTCCCAAGACAATGGAGCCCTTAGTACTTAAGCAGACTGCCCTTTTTTGGAAAGGATATCCTAATTGTAGTTTAGAAAATGGATCAGGGAAGGGGAACTGGGGCACAGAGAAGGCTGCAGGATGGGAGGCTGTTGAAAAAGGCCAGGTGGGAACACATGAGTCATCTCTTCTCTCAACCATATGTTTCTTTTTTCTGACATGTGAGGCCAGCAGTCCTCATCTTGTCTACCTCAGAGTGTTGAGGGAAAAAAGATTTTTAAAAATAGCTACTTAGAACAGGAGTTAGCAAACTCTTCTGTAAAAGGCCAGGTAGTAAATATTTTCAGCTTCTCAGGCCTTATGGTCTCTGTCACAACTACTAAACTTTGTCATTGTAGCTCAAAAGCAACCATACGTACAAAAATACGTATGATTGCAGCTGTGCTCCAATAAAACTTTGTTTATGAACACCAAAATTTGCATTTTATATAATTTTCATGTGTCACAAAATATTACTCTTCTTTTTACTTTTTTACCAACCATCAAAAAGTGTAAAAAGTGTCCTTAGCTTATGACCACACAGAAAACAGGGAGAGGGAGCTGGATTTGGCCCTTGGGTCATAGTTTGCTGACCTCTAGCTTAGAGTATGCTTTAAAAATAGCAAAGCTCCCCATATTTTTAAGGAAAAAGTATCATGATTACTGTTTACTGGTAGTTGAATTTTATAGTATTTCATAGCTGTTGATCAAGTTTGCCATCTGTGTTATTTTTGAAATTATGTACTTCCTGTTCATCAGTTGGTTTGAAATGTCCTACCTCTCCATTTTGCATGAGAAATTTCTGAAGTTTTGTTGATTAATCAGTAGAGAAAGTTGCAGTCTGTGACCAAGCCAAAGACACCTTTCAACCTTCTGTATGACTTTCTTAGCAAGGCAAGTGGTGGGTTTGAAAGGGCAGGAACATTAAAGCCAGGGTTTGAATATAGCCTCTGCCAGTTACTAGTTTTGTACCCTTAAGATAGTTAAATAAATTTCCTGATTCACCATTTCTTCATTAATTCATTCATTTATTCAAATATTCTCTGAGCACCTACTATGTGCCAGATACAATGCAAGGCCATAGGAGTACACCAATAAATGAAACACCAATAAATGCCTTCAAAAAGGCTTCAAAATTAAAGAGGAGACACCCACTTATATGTAGTGAGGTTACTGCAATGAGAAAGGAAGATGAGGATGTTATGGAAGACAAAGAAGGGGCACCCATCCCAGATTCTAAGAGACACTAAAGACTCCATAGAGGGAAGGAGTTCTAAACTGACCCCTGAAAAATGAGTAGTTGTCAGCCAGGTGAAGGAGCAGGAGGAATTGCATCCCATGCAAAGTGACTCACCCGAGTAAGGCTTACAGACAAGATGGTAGGGGACTACTGATCATGCAGAGTTGCTTATCATACTTGGGGCAGAACAGAAGGTGATGGTGGGAGTGGAGAGAGACGAGACCAGATGGGCGGGCAAGGAGCTCATCATGGAGGGTCTGTGAGCTGGGTTATAGGATTTGAGTTTACCTTGGGACAGTGGGGTGGGGTATTGATGTGTTTCAACTAAAGGGTGAAGAGTCGATTTTAAAAGAGTCAGACTGGAGGCAGTGAGATCAGATAGGTTTCTGCTTAAATGAAAAGTGAAACACAAGGTGGCTTGGATTAAATGGGAATGAAATGAGAGAGAAGGGGGATAACTTTAAGAGCTTTTCTGGGCTGGAATTAATCGGGCATGGGGATTGATTGTAAATGCCAGGTCAGAAAAGAAGGGGCAAAGGCTGACACCCAGGTTTCTAGACTGAGAAACTACATGGATGGTGGCACCATTTACCAAAAATGGGCATACTGGGAAAGAAGAAGTTCAGGTGGAAAATGACAGATTTATTTATAATCATATTGATCTTTCTGAGTTGTTCTAGTCTTAGAGAAATGCTGTAGGTGAGGCTCTTGGAAGAGAACCTGGCATGTCGGGGTGCTCCATAAATGGTGCCTCTTACTCTTGTATCATTTTTGTAAATCTATTTCAGGCTCTGTTTTGTTAAATCATAATGTTCTTTTGCTGTTTGTGTGAGCTCTTCAGAGCCACGAGAATTGCAGTTTTGTTCACCGTACCGCACGTTTTCATGTGTGTTTCTTTCTCTCCTTCTCTTCTGCATGCTGCCTGGGGACTGGCTTCCTTGTGGTCAGCACCAATGGGCAGCGCCCAGGTGACCCCGGGGACTCCATTCTGCCTCCTCACCACAGGTGATCACCAGAGTCCTGGGCGGG